ATAAATGGGTTTGGGCAAATTAAAGCAGCTAAAAGGGGCTCTGAACACAAAGGATTTGTTTTTAGTTTTGATGCCCAACACAACTATTTTGAGTGGCAGGTGGACAGAGCCCTGAATTTTAGTGCCTCCCTGCTGGGTCCAAATCCCTCTTCCCCACCAGGATCCCCTAGAGCGGGCAGTGAAGGTTCCAAACACAACCTGCTAATTGCCTCCACTACTTTGTACCTTTATTCTACTGCTACTAATTGTTTTGCAACTGCCAAAGTTCCAATTTCGTCTGTAAATCCTCCAAACTCCCTGTACTCCATCCCTCCAGCCCTGCTGCAGGTGTTGTGCCAACCAACCCACAGGGAAGGACACTGGAAATTATCCAAACAACTTTATTATCTATTTTTTTTGCTATTTTATTTTTAAACTCAAATATGAAGAAAGAGCTGATTTTTAAAATTTTGTTTTGCTCTATTTTATTTTATTTTATTTTCTATTTCTCTGTTTTATTTGGTTCTATTTTATTTTAGCCTCTTTTATTTTACTCTATTTTCTCCATTTTATTTTCTTTCTCTCTATTTTATTTCCTTTCCCTCTATTTGATGTTATGCCCATGCCCAGGTCTGGGTCCCTGGCTGTGCTGGAGGAGAAGCAATGCTATTTTTTCCCCAGGGGAAAAATCTCTCTTTCTCCCTGGCATTAACTGCCTTTTTCTCTTTTAAATTACAGCCCCCCTGTAAAACTGTGTCCTGCACCCTCAGGGGAGAGCAGTGCTTGTAGGCTGGCATCACCCATCAGGTGCTGAACCCAGATTTTGGGGTTCCCCTCGAAAAACACCAGCCAAAGCCACTGCAGTGGGGATTGAAAAGGAACCTTGTGCTTTAAAACAAACAAAAACAACAACAATCAAAACCAACTATAAGGGCTTTTTTATATTTCAGTGTAAAGAAGCTTTTATTTTATTAATATAAATTCCATTAACTTTTCTATGGGATGCATGGCCTTGGAAATGGGTTAGGTGGGGATTTTTAAATGTTTTTTTTTGTTTTTTTTCTTTCTTTTTTGCTTTTTGTACTAAAAATTGTGACTCGGTGGTATTAAAATATTTTCAATTATGGGCATCTTTCTGGAACTGTCTCTTTGATCTCCCCTCACTCCCCATCTGGACCAGTCCCCTCCAGTGCTGGTTCAGAGCCACTTGTGCAGTGTGGCAGGAGCCTCTCCCCCATCCTCAGTAGTTCTTGCCCTCTTGGCTGAATATATTGTGTCTTTTGCCATGTGTTGCTCTCAAAGGTGGGGATGTGGCCTTACAAATTTTTTAAGGTTAAATCCCTGGGAATCCAGCTTGGCCCCTCCACAAGTCTCTTCCCAAGGCTGAAATGCCACCAGCATCTTCCACTTATGGGCCTTCTTATGAACCCTCATAGCTAAAGTCTCCTTATTTTCTCCCATTTCCCATGAATGCAGAGCTGACTTGTGTCTAATTGGGTATTTGCTAGTTTAAAATGATTTTTAGTCCCCTAGGCAGGGACATGACCCTTGCTGGGCATGTTTTTCTTCAGAGATCATGTTTTCCATCCAGGTATTTGCATGGCTGCTGTGTTGTTTTAGCATCCTCGTCCTGCCCCCTGCACCTGCTCCAGAAACACATCCCATCCCACCTCAGACCCAGGGATCTGCTGTCCTTGGTGGTTGCTGTGACATCTGCAAGTGTCACCTGAAGGCTTCCTGGGGATGGACATCCAGGCCAGAAGCACATCAAAGAGGGGGATCTGCCTTTGTTCACAGCATAGGCAGACTAAAATAGTTTCCCCCTTCCAACACACATCTTTTGGTCATTAGAGCAGTTTAATGAGCAGTACTGAGGTTTTGGGTCATACCTCTTGCTTTCAGCCAAATCCCTGGGAAATAACAGTCATTTTTAAATAGGCAGAAATGAGGGAAAAGGGAAAATGACCCCCACTCAAAGGCATGCAGAAAGGCTTTTCTCACACCTTTGAGACGTGGGTGTTTGAATTTGGTGGTGTTTTTAATAATTCTTATTTACTGTCCTGCCCCTACAGCATCTACCAAGTCCTCTCTAGTTCTCTGAGATGATCCCATCTAAGAAAACATCTTTCTTCTTTTTCCCTTCCAGCCACAGCAGTTTTTTTAGTACAATATTTGCTAAAGTTCAAGGTTTGGGTCTTGCCAGCACTTCTTTAACACATGGTTTGGACAAACCTTATGGTACCCAAAATCTGATTTTCACTGTCATTAACCCAGGAAAGGAGCTTAATCATTTGACTACTGCTAGTTCTGCTCCTCTTCCTGCCTCTTTTCACCCCCAAAAAGGTTTCAGTTGGAGACTGACAAGGCAGATTAGTTTGATATTTCATAAACTGAGTGTTTAGACGAGCAGAAAATATAAATGCACCAATTTTATTGTTGCCAAGACCATGGAGGTACAGTTTTGTATCACTTGAAGTCACACTTGTGTTTCGTGTTTCATGTTTCATAGGTGTCCAAGAACCATAAATTCCTGAGCGTAAAGGTTGGAAAATGAAGGTTCACAAACCCTTCTGAACATTTTTGGCCCTAATTCACTGCTACATTCCAAAGCATTAGACCTGCCATGTGCCAGGATTCTGGGAAAATAGGATAACTCAAAGTCCCAGGAATCTCACATATCAGGCACCTGGGCGTCACTGCAGGGCTGAAGGGTTTGCCAAGATTGGTGTTTTGCCAAAATGCCCACAGCAAATTCTGCAGAGGATTACCTAGAGGGAAAAAAACCAAAAACTACAACAAAAAACAAACCCACCCTAAAAACCCAAGCACACCTCAACAATGACCCACAGAATGGAAGTATGAGTGTTTCCTATGGCTCTGAGAGATGAGGGTGAGCAGTGGCAGAGCCATGAGGCACAGCTGAGCCCAGGGATGCTCAGAGGATGCTGTAACACAGATCCTGTGTAATGCCCAAAGAGTAGGGGACTGGAGAACAAAGCCGAAGTTTTTAGGGCAGCTGCAAGTGCCAGACAGGGTCACAGGCACCTCCTCGGGGCTGACCAGACATGGTACCTGAGCCATTGCCACTGCAGTGATTTTCACTTGTTTTCTGCTTAATGGGGAAAAAAGAAAGGTCTTAATTACCAGCCAAAGAGGTTCATTATCACCCTGGCATCCAACTCCTTTCTTTGGCCCCTTCCAACCCTCTGAACTCTGGTACCACTCCTGAACCTTAGGCCACTCCAGTGTCTTAGGCCACTCATTCTTAGGCAGTAATTGAAAGGTCTAATTAAAAAACAGGGATTATTTGTCGAGGACACATAGTCCCCCACCCGGGGAGAGTTCCCAGCAGGTTTCCACCACTTTTCCCATGTGACATTTTTGGGGAGGCTCCATTCCCAGCCTATGACTGCTCTAACTGCAGGGATGCCCATCGTGTCTCAGAGCACAAAGCCCAGCTGACGTAGCTTGGACAAACCTTAAATAGCTCAGTGCAAGCTCCAGCTGGTGCTCAGTATCCCTGACTCCATTACATGAGTCAGGATCCAATCCCAACAGCACTTAAAAGCCTTCCAGACCTACATCCCTATCCCAAATCATCAGCAACAAAGAGATTCTGTCATCATCCCACTGCAACAAGGATGAGCCTGTGGTGAAGGTAATGCTCCCCATGAACCCCTTTGATTATCAACAAGGTTTAGAGCTGATCTTTCCCAGCATTAAGAATTTCTTTCTCTTCCTTTTTTTTCTTGCTTATATAACTGAAGTGGCTGAACAGATTTTTTTCAAAGACTCCAAAAAAGCTGGGGTCTAGCAGAAACAAATCAGGTTCTGGGGAGTTAGCTCAGAAGGGAGCCTGGGGAATTTTAAAAAATTATTGTAAATTGGGGTATGAGAGACTGCCCACTTGGAGTGAAGCTGATGGAAATGCTCAGAGATGATGGGAGAGTGATGCTTCTACTCCCAGTGACATCCCAAGAGGGGATATGGGGGAACATGGGGCACACTAGGTGTGGGGACCACGACCCTCCTTCCCACCTCTACCCCACAGGGAGCCATGCCAGGGTGGGCAGCCTCTGGCTGGAGGTACTAAACCTGGTGATGATGAGCTATCATCTCATGGTAATTAACCCAGGTAGCTCAAACTCATCTGGACACATTTGTATGAACCCTTGTCCAAAGGGCTACTGCAGTGATTGCAACCTCAGGCAGTAAAATACTTGGTATTTTGGGTTGCAAAGCTTGACAAAGGGATTCCTGCCCAGGGTTTGCAGACACAATGTCCCCTTCTCATACCTTGGGGACATTGGGCACAGCTCCCCTCTCTGCGGAGTCCATTCATCTAGTATGGAAAACATCCACCTGGGATGGAAAACAAATGGTGCCATCCCTTCTGCTCTGTGGAAAGCCTTGGCAGCTCCTCAGGGCACCCACATCATGCCCCAGCCTTTTCCCCTTGGAATGGGGGATATGTCTTTGGGCTTGTGCTTAAGATTAGGACACCTCCATGGAACATTTGCTTGTGCTCCAACCTGGACATTCAACACCTCACAGCTTTTCTTGGAGTCAAAAACAAAAGCAAGAAAAAGCAGAGGATGTACCCACCAAGTCATATGGCAGGGATGGAGGTCTCTAGAGGTTTTCTGGAGACATGCTTAGGTCTCAGGGTTTTGTAGCAGTAGTTATTTGACAGTGGTTTCCAGCAGCTCTTGATTCCCAAAGGGCAAGTACTGATGGTTGGCAGCTTCTGTTTGGAAGAGAGGGAACCAATGTGGGAATGTCTTCACTACAAAATTACTGTGTCTAAAAGCTCTGTCTGCATGTAAACCTGGTGGCCCAACCTTGGCTGAGGATATTAGAGCATTCTGAAAGCAAATGAGCACTGCGAGACAGGACCCAGATGACTCCTAGTGACCCAGAGGATGCCTGGCCTTGGTGGCACTTTGTCCTTGGAAGATTGGGTGTCTGGAATTAGCCAGAGCAGAGTTGGTGAACATCTCTGTGCCCTTGCAGGTCACCCAATGAGTGCAGCCCTGCAGGTGACAGCATTCGGGCTCGCTCTTCTCTCTACACTCTTCCTACTCCTGGCCACGTGCACGGACTGCTGGATGGTCAATGCTGATGACAGCTTGGAGGTGAGCAGAGAAATCACCTGGAAGGTGAGCAGAGTAGTGCCCTTAAGATGAGCACAGCAACCATCATCCTCAAGGTGAGCAGGTGAGAGCAAGGTGAGTGCCTTGCCATCCATGAGGCTGCACCGTGTCTCCACAGGCTTGGAAAAGGGACATGGTGGGACAAGCCCACTGCTTTGTGAGTTGAAGCATTAGACAATTATAGACATAGAGGGATGGAGCAGGAGGAAACAAAGAGCAGGTATGGGCAGGGAGTCACCAGGACATGTCCAGGTGCAGTGGTGGGAGTCCGAAATCTGCCCTGCTGGGCTGGGAGATCCATGGGAAGCTGGGGAGACTCTGGTGCTTTTTGCATGAGTGCCTTTGTCCTGCTTGCAGGTAAGTCACAAATGCCGGGGCCTTTGGAGAGAGTGTGTCACCAACATGCAGGATGGGGTCAGGACCTGTGACCAGTATGACTCCATTCTGGCTGACCACCCAGGTGAGATGACCTGGCCTGGAGGCATTTATTGAGTTCACAGCTCAGTCTTCTTGAAAGGGAAGTGGGACAGTGATTTTCATTGCACCAAGCTGCCCTTTGTCAGTCAGCCACACCAGCCTAGGGCTCTCTTGGTCTCTTGACCCAGTAGCCTGGCCTTGGCAGCAGCTCGGGGTTCAGTCAGACCTGCCATGGGGTCATCAGGCAGGAAAGAGGCTGTGAAGCTGTGCCACCTCGTGACAAACATGTTCTGGCATGTAGAGCCCAGGACTTGCAACCCACCATGCTTCAGGCAGAGCAAGGACCATTCCCACTGGCCAAGGACTCATGCCCACAGCTCAGGGACAGTCACATCAGGGTAGGGACATTTCTTCTGACCTGCACAGGGCACATCAAGCCCTGCAGAGGGAACCTTTGTGTTGGGTCATGACATGGAACAACACAGATTCAGGCAGTGGAGAAGGAAAGTAGTTGGTATGAACTAAGGGGGGCTGCCACCTTGCTCTGGGGAGAGTGGAGCTTTGCAGGGCACAGTCCCATCACAGCTGGTGATGTGATCCATGCCAGCTCTTGTTTTTCACTGATATATTGACATTTGCTGTTCAAAACACCAGCTACACAACTTGGAGGAAAAAACAGTGTGGACAGCAGTGTCTTCTGCTCAAGAATGGCTTGAGCAGGCGATCACATACCAGGTGCTGATGGGTATACCTTGAATTGTTTGGTTTCTTAAGCTGGTCTAGTCATGGGTTTAAGTCCTCATTCAGTTTGTGATGAGCTTGTTGACCACCTTCCCTTGGCCCATGGGAGGGATGGAATTGGTGGATTCCAATGTGATGGCCACTGGTGAGCTGGGTCACTCTAAAAAGAACATTGGCAGGAATCTGCAGTGGAGAGACCTGTTCCTCTGATTATTCCTCATTCCCATTTCTGTTTTTTTTTATGTTCCCTGCCCAGTGAAGATCGTGGTGACACGGACCCTGATGATCACAGCAGATCTCCTGGCTGGCCTGGCTTTGGCTACACTGATTCTTGGGCTCGACTGCATCACATTCTTCAAGGAAGATCCTCGTGTCAAACTGAAGATGTGCTATGGAGCTGGAGCCATGCTCGGCGCTGGGAGTGCGTGGCTGGGAGAGCTCGGGAGCAGACAGACCTCGTGTCCCCAGGGAGCTGGGGAGCATGCTGGGAGCCAGCAGCACCCCCTCAGAGGGGCTTGGGGAGCATGGGGGGGTGTATGGTTCTTTTTAACAAGCCCCATTCCTCCTAGGCATCCTAGGGCTCACAGGCTCTGTGTGGTATGCAGTGGACGTCTACGTGGAGAGGGCCATGCTGGTGTCACACAATGTATTCCTGGGAGTCCACTATGACTTTGGGTGGTCGTGCTGGCTGGGAATGGCTGGCTCCACTGGCTGCTTTGTGGCATCTGTCCTGCTGACCTGCTGCCTCCATGCCTGCACAGGTCAGTCTGTCTCATTCCACCCCATCCTATCTCAAGTAGCTTTTTGCCCTGCAGGGAGAAGGGGTGAAGGACCAGCTCAGGAGGCTCAGGGGCTTCTTGCAGGGTCCAGACTAACCAAGGGGGACCCCTTTGTGCCCAGGCTTGGCTGGGGAGGTTACACAAGGCAGAACAGGGCTGAGTCAGTCATAAACCCTAAAAGGGCATGAAGAGGGTGCAGGTTTCCATGCACATCTGTGGGCCCCCAGGTCCTGGTGAAGGTGTGCTGATGTTTACTCAAAGCAGGGCTGTGCTGGAGCTGAACCCCTGTCCTCAGCCAAAGCCTGAGCCAGTGGCTGCAGGGATGTGCTGGTTGACAAACAGCCCCACCCCCAGGGACATGGGGCAGGTGATGCCTCCCCAGACATCATCTCCATCCTTATGCCTGGGCCCACAGGAGGGAAGTTAACCCTGCTGGCTGTCCGAGTTCATTTCTACTGCTGTGTCCCCAGGCTGTGGCAGTCCCAAATCACCCTGTAACTGCCAGCCATGACAACCCCAACTCTTTCCTGCCAGCCCCCAGCAGCCGCTGTCAACCCCAGAGGCATCCCCAGCCCCAGGGCCGAACAGGCACCCGAACAGGCACCAGCAAGATGTATGCCATGGATTCCTGTGTGTGATGGCCAGCAGCACCTCCTGCACCCGAGATGGGACATCTCCCTGCCAGTCTGACCCCATTAAAGCACTAGCACCTGTACTGAGACATTTCTGCAGCTGCTTCCAGGCTCTGACACAGCCAACTGGCTGCTGAAAGTGAGGGTACTGCAGCAGTCAGCCAGGGAAGGGTTTTTCCCCACTTCCAGCCAGGTTTCATGAAAATAAATCCCAGAAAGTGTTGCTTGAAGAAAAGATGCCTCTGTTCCCTGGGAAAGCTGTCAGGGCACTGAGGGCAGAGTCACTTCTCTGACGTTGCTCAGCCCAAGCTTTGGGGGAATTCAGTGGGAAGTCTTTTCTGCACGGAGCAGCACTGACTCCATGTGGCTGGTAGCCTTGGTTCCTCCCACACCAGCCCCACTGGAAACAAAGGGCGGTACAAGGCTTGTGCTCAAAAACTGGGTAAAACCAGGAGTCTGGAACACTTAGTTACCAATGTTTTCATGGGGGATCATGAAGGAACACCAAAACCATACACACCAGACACAAGGAGGTGAGTCAGTCTGAAGCCTGATGGAGATGCTCTTCCTGCAGAGTGGGATTTTTAAGTACACAGAGAATGTGAATTCTGTTTTCAAAGTGAATTATCTTTCAGCACTTAGGTAAACTATTATGAAAACAAATCAGAATCTGAAACCACCACTATCTCAATCTCCACCACCCTCAATTACTGAATGCTGGTTTGGGCCTCATTCCCTTACCTCTCACCCCAAGCTAAGCACACAGGCACCATCTCAGCACAGGGAAACCAAGCAGAAGCTCCCCAGTACTGTGACCCTGAGAGGCAGAAGGTGGAGCTCCAGGCCCAAGCAGATGGTGCTGCTATCAGTACCCAGAACAGACAGGTGTGAAGACTGCAGTCCCACTCCTGCAGCCCAGCCAGCCTGAGCCCCTGAATGCAAAACCTAGAGGAGCTGTAAGGGTCCTCTTGAGCCATCTGCCCCCTCACACGAAGCCAAAAGGCAGCAAAGCTGTTGTTTATTGTAGGTTCTCACACTTCTGCCAGCCAGAATGTCCAGGGCAAATCTGTCCCTGTCATGAGCAACACCCCAGAGACCTGGGGAAGGAGAAAATCCAAACACTGAGTGACAGAAAGGAGCAGAGAGGAGATTTTGCTGTCAAACAGCAGCGTCTGGAGGGCAGGATGGTCACAGAGGGCACAGCCAGGGGATGGGCAGGTGAGAGCATTAGAAGGTGCTTGGAGAGAGCAAAGCCTGGAGACACCTGGGGTGATTGGGACACTGGAGCCCACAGGAAAATTATTAAGAGCACAGAGCTCACTGGTATGTAGAAAGGTCCCAAAAGCTTGGGGCCCATTGGACAGCCACCCTCACCTGCAGCTGCTCTGCAGTGGCTCTAAGGGATATTGTCAGAGCTTGGCACAGCTGGGCACAAACGTGAGCCCCACGAGGGAGCAGCCCCCACTCACCAGGTTCTTACCTTGGCACTGGGGTGCAGCCAAAGCCAGTTTTGGCAAAAGGCACAGCTCTGTCTCCATGCTTCTGCACCTCTGGGGAACAGCTGGCTCTGCAGTGCACTCATGAGCAATTGTGCTATAGCACAGCCCCAATGACAAGTTTGGGATTTTTTGGAATCTAGAACCTGGCACAGGTTCCCCAGAGCAGCTGTGGCTGCCCCATCCCTGGAAATGTTCAGGCCAGCTTGGACAAGTCCTGGAGCAACCTGGGATAGTGGAAGGTGTCCCTGCCCCACTGACAGGGTATGGGATGAGGGGAGCTTTAAGGTTCCTCCAACCCAAACCAATGTGGGATTCTACCCTTTTCGCAGCAGGGTTTCTCCTGGCTTTTTTAAGCACCCTCACACCCCCTCAGTGCTGCAAGTGCTGTATTCCAGCAAGGACACACCCAGGCTGTTCCAGCAAACAGCTCCTGGAAACACTGGGCTAGCACCAGGCACTGCCATCCCTCTGTGCCTGCCCATCCTTCTCCAGTGTGACTCAATTGCATCTTCACTGTTTTTTTTGCTTCCATTTTTCTGTTTTACCCCACCAGCCTGTATGCCCAAAGAGCAAAGCAGTCATTTTTCTTCCCAAACTTTCTACAAATACTTAAAACCCTTTCACACAAAAGTAAGTTTAAAACACTTAAGCACACATGGTAACTCTTTAAGACCTTTATTAACAGATGCTTGCAGTTTGACTTGAAAAAATCAGGCGTATATTTCATACAAATTAAAAATGAGGTTCTTAAAAATCTCAACGTGACCAGATATGAAACAATTTACAAACTTTTAAAGGTATATTGAGAAAAAACAGGCTTTTAAAAAACGTGTTTATCATTTCCAAAAAGAGAATTCTTTAGGTAAAAATAATAAAAACCCCATGCTGCATAGATAATGCAGATAGTTCTAGTAATCTGGTCAACAGCAAAAAGCAAGCACTTAAGGTCTTCAGTTCCAATTCTTTTGTTCATTTCTTATTGCTGGAATTTCATTTTCTTCTTCATTTCTTAAAGTCTTTTCTTGATGACTAAACTGCAAAAGAGGAAAAAAAAGGCTGATCAGACAGGTGATATAGGGTTAACGGGCTGCTTTGCATACCAAGACTCACCTGCAACACAAAAATTCACCCTAAGCTGCCTGTCCCAAGCTCACAGGCCAACTCTCAGCAGCTACTGCTCCTTTCAGCCCCCACCCCTGCCCCCTGCAACCACAGCAGCCACCTTCCCACAGGACCAGTGCCAAGGGCTCCAAAGAGAGCAGTCAGGCAACTTAAACCCAGAGGGATTCCTCTGCTCATGGGCAGGGCTGCTTCCACCAGGCTCTGCCAACATTCAGCCACTGCTCACAGCACAGAAATGAAACCCAATATTCTCCAATGCTACCAGGCAGCAAAAGGAACCAAGGTGCCATTGTGGTATCCTTTTGAAGCCCATGTTCTAAGAATTCATCCAGGAGATGTTGACCACAAAGATGAATACCAGGATACAACAAATGTTCACCAAAAGTGCACAGAGATCACTTTTTTAGCACGGCCTGGACAGTGACTGAATGATCCATCTGCAAGCAGAACATGAAGCACTCGAGCCCATGCAGAGCAAGTCCCCAAGCTCCCATAGCTGGGAGAGGCTGCAGCTGCTGCCAGTACTGAGCCTTCTCCCAGCCCAACTCCTCCAGCCCCATCAGTGTTGACCACTCAGTCTGCTCCCACTACAACCCTAAATGCCCCTTCCACTCTCCTGCCCTCCAGGTAATGAGCAAGTGACAAAAGGAATGGGATACACACACACAGGTGACAAGAAATGCAGAACAAGTGGAGTCCTGGCAATGAAAAATTCCCAAATTAGCAGAACTGTCCCTCAGGAGTCAGCACCAAAGAAGCCCCAATTGCAGACAAGGCAAGGTTCCCTTGCAACTAACCCAGCCTTTGGCCCCTGCCCTGCACAGAACCCTCCCAAGTCCACACCTCAGCACTGCAACACAGCTCCCACATTCTCTGACAAAAGCATCATCTTCTACCGTTTTTTCCAGCACTGATTAGATAAAAAGCTGCTCCTGAGACACTCCTGCTAATTCTGCATCACGTTTGTAGAAATGGAGGCTGAGGTCTCAGTGCCATCCCCTCCCTCTGTAGGGACTCGGCTCAGGCACTGATGGAGCTAGGTAAATCCCAGCTCGTGCTTCTCCTGACTACTTTCAAGTCTTTACACTTGCACTGCTTCAACTTCTGGGTGAGCAGAGACTGCTGTACACCTGAACTACCGGACACAGCCAAAATTTAAAGTGTAACACTACTCCATCAATGACAGTTCAAGCTTGTAACTAAGTTCCCTCTCAATTAGTTGGCATTGAAGCAACAAAGCCTCGCAGTTTGGTTCTGCACTCACAGATCAGTTACACAAGAAGAGTCCAAACCTTGTAAGGCACAAATAAAAAGCAACAAAAGAAAGTCAGCAAAGGCATCTCCAGGCCCCTGGTCACGCACCCGGATGATGGTAGAGATGTTAAGCCGGTATTTACTCAGCCCCGCCCTGCTCAGCCTCGGGAGCGGACGTGTTCTCAGCTGGTGGTTCGGCTGTCTTCGTCTCTTTGCCATCTTGTGGTTTAGGGTTCTCTGGGCGTCTGCGTCGGTAGTTGAAATTACGGCGGTACCGACGTTGAGGTGGCTGCTGACTTTGGGTTTCATCCCCTTGGTTCTCTTTATCTTCTTCATTTCCATCCTCTCTAGGCTGTCTTTGACGAGGAGGACCCCTGAAAGTCAAGCTAGGCTTTAACCATGCAGCACCTGAGCATCGCCATGTCCTGGCTCTGCTGCTGAACAAGGCTAAAACCAGCAGCTCATGTGCAGCATACCTGCGAAATCTTGGTCTGTAACCCCGGTACATGTTTTGCCTGACTGGTCTGCCGTCTCCTGCACCCTGGTTGTCAGCACCCTGCAAGACATCAGGCCACAGACCCCCTCAGCCCCAGCCAGAAATGTGCTAACTCCACAGCTTGTCATGCTGAGAGAAAGGAGCTGGAAGGTTGTCAGTTCAGTCAAGGTGGACAGCAGTTCTAGGGAACAGGTGTGCACACAATGGAGAATCCTCCAGTTAATCACACAAATTGAAACACTGGT